TATAGCTTACTATGCGGTATGTGTTTTGCTCATTGTTGTAGCCCGGATGGTGACTTATCGTTGTTAAATTCGACGTCATTTGGTGTCGGGTGGAGAATTCTCTCATTGGTAATCATACCACATCTTCTTATTTTTATATTAAAAGGAGATGTGGGGAATGTGGGGTAAAACAATTTTGTCGTTATTGTCGTTCTATTAATTATTTTGACTTTATCTGATTTCCCCCCTTTTATGCGCAAATTTCGTAAATAGACACATGAAATTATTAATTTTCATAGATGGTCAGGTGTAATATAAAAATGCAAACCACATATCGTATATCGGCTTTCATATATATATATATATATATATAGATTCTACCACTGCATCGAGTGTGATACGATATTTATCCACTCGAGACAGTTAAATTTTCAAATTTAAAACGCGAGGCTCGCCGAGCGTTTTAAATATTTAAAATTTAACTGTCGAGAGTGGACAAATATCGTATTACACGAGATTTGGTGGTGGAATCTGTTTCTCTAATGATTTTCAAACAATACGCAGGCAAATTTATTCATTCTTTTCGAATGATTTGCAAAAAGATGTGTTCTTTCTATGTGACGTCATCAGGCATGGTCGCCTTTTTTCATGCCGTCACAATAGGAAATTCAGAGGAAAGCAAGAAAATTCGACGTCATAATCGGATTTTAACCAATGAAGAACTGAGATCAAACGAACCACACGTTGATTAAATTTTTTTTATACAATGGGTGCAGAAAGGGATAAATTGACGAAGAATTAGAGAAATATATTTATATAATTCGTCTAAATAACAGCCCAACAATGTTAGATCTGTATATATAAATGTCCAAGAATATAACTTAAACACGCTAATTGATACATTAAAAAGTTCTATTACATTTTAAATAGAATATAGAATAATGTGTACTCGCTGGCGTTTTGACGTAAACGTAACTACGCGCCTGTGATAAGTACATTTTACAAGGATGTCTTTAACCATGCAATCTTCAGTAGTTACAAAGCAATGTTTGACAACCTTTTCGATATATATATATATGTGATAAAGAAAACTTCAGTAAAAAAAATATAATTACCAAACAATAAAAGCTTTGCCTAATCAAATCCTTAATGTTGTCTTCTTTAGATTATCAAAAATACCAAAATAAAAGATGCAGTATGACTGCTAGCCAAGGAGACAACCGAATATCCACTATCGGAGACTAAAAACCTACCAGAACCCCTCTCAGAACTAACAGAACATCATATGGAGAACGTATAGTAATATACAATTTTTACATCGCGATGACCTTGAGGTCATTCCGATGTATTGCTATCGCCTAGATTTCCATTATGTAAATTAGTTTTGGGTTTGTAACCGATCTATAAACATGATAAATATGCGCACATAAACGAATGCAAAATAACATTCCTTATCGTTTGATACATCTCTTCAATGAATACTGATAAAAATATTTTTGTTTACAACATAAATTAATAATATGAAAATGTTTTGTAGTTAGATATATATATATATATAAGTAAAAAATCATTGATAATATCAATGCACACGTACCGAAAAATTGTGTTAAAGCATGCGGAAGAATATCTCAAAGAACGTTTTGAAGGACCGGTAACTCTGTAATTGTTTTTGCGGGAAAATATGAATGCCTACTCGTATCCAACCTTAGAAAAATCGAATTTTTACAGAAAAGTGTCCACCATGCACTTGCATTGCACTATTATTAGAATAGTAGAATAGAATGATATACAAATGGATGCAAATCATATATGTATGTAACTGTTATTTTAATATAATATATAACAACAAATCAGTGTATACTGATTTGTATCACTACAATATAATACATGTAGTTATTACGGTGAAGATGAATTTCCTGTCATTTATTCATCATCCACGCACGAACTTGTCTCAGAAAAAAATATATCTCTGTACATTAACCTCAGTTTCAGGTAAAGAGATATGTTGTTTTTTTTCTGAGACAAGTGCTTTTGACCATCCTCAAGAACTTGTGGTCATCCGATGTTCAGTACTTCAGTACTTTGATTACTTAAAGCGTCCACATTTTAAGCTTATTTGGAAAACATATATTTTGATTAGTTCCGTCTTCAAGAGTAACTTTTGGCAGACATTTATCATAGTCACAACAGAGACTGTGGCATATATAGCTACAAGTAGACCTTTTCATATTTTCAATGATTGATAATTTTTTGCTACTTTAGCATTATATGTAGGAATACAACCAGGGGCGTAGCTGGACTTAAATAAAGTGCAATCATAACGATGGCCGAGCGAAGCGAGGCGAAAATTTTTTTTGGACCATTTTATGCAGAAAATGATAACTTTTTTTCGGGCATTTTACCGGTATGCCATGCTTATGAAATTCACATCACTCCTTCACGCCCAAACTCCTTTTTTGTGAATACTTGTGGACTTTATAGTGATTTGGGAAGGGAGGAGGCTATGGACCGCTCAAAGTCACCAGCTGATCCAGGGTAACACCCTAGTCGGGAATCCAGGGCAGCACCGTAGACGATGGTCCAGGGAAGCGAATCCCCATGAAGCTCCGGGCATATGAGTAATTACAGTGACTGCTTTGAACATGAAAAATACCATATCTGTTTCTTACTATACCATATTTTCATGAAACGATAGTAAAAGTCTAGTGATTTCCGTAATTTGCTGCTTATGTTATTAACATGGTTATTTTCAAATATAAAATAAATTTTATAAAACGAGAAGATCAGGACGAGTCGACAACTAAGCGTTAATCAATTGACAATTGACAAACCCGGGAACAGATAAGACACAAAAGGAGAAACAAAAACATTCAACATTGAAAACTAAATACAGACGAACCCAGAAAACAATGTGGCGACTTCCTGTGCTCCGGAAGGGTAAGCAGTTCCTGCTTCTTGCAAGACACCCGTAGTGTTTCTCGCGAAGGTCATTCTTAAATCAAAGTAGAGGTTTCTACGACAACGGTAGAAGGTCATTTGGGACACAGATACCCCAGGTGAATTAATAGTCTTTTGGACGAACGGACAATGGGAATACGAAATCTAACGGCCACTTTTAAGTCTTCACTTATAAGTAAGGGATATAAATATAAGATGTTTTCAATGTGATTGTATTGAGACTGTATTATTAAATGTTAATACTGCATGTAAGACTTAAAGTATAGTTAATATCGAAAGTCCATATATCTATTTTTTGCCAACGCAAATGATCGCAGAACTCTCTCGGTCTTGATATCCATTTCTTTGTGAACATGTATTAGCGCCAACGAAGATAGTCTGTCCTGTACCATGGTTGAACGGAGATAAGTTTTCGGTCGCCGTAATGCACTAAATGACCGTTCAGTAGTTGATGTAGTTACTGGCATTGTAACTAGAATTGAGAAGATTGAGAATATTGAAGGATATAGTTCCTTATTATTCACTGCTAGAGACGACATCAGAGATTTAAGCTTTAAACACCGCCCGACGCGATAATCTGTAAAGACTAAAGACTATCCGTAATTCAATTTCAGAAATTTTTTTTTTTGTGAAAAAAATGTGCAAGCAAATGATTTTTTGCGTAAAGGCAGCTACGCGCCTGTCTAATACCATTCAAATTGTATAAATACTATCAAAATGACACAAGACAAAACACATCCTTTCAAGCTGTCCCATCACTTTTACGAACATTGGATAAGGGAAAAAGAAGGATTAAACGTGTTGGGATTGTAACCGATCTATAAACATGATAAATACGCAGACACTATCGAGTGCAAAATAACATTACTTATCGCTTGTTATAAATTAATTTTTTCAATGGATACTCCTAAAAATATTTTTTTTAGAACATAAATTAATAATATGAAAATGTTTTGTCGTTAGAAATATATATATAAGTAAAAAATATTTAATATCTATGGATACGTACAGAAAATGTATGTTAACGCATGTGGAAAAATATCTCAAGAACGTTTGCAATCTCCCATGCAGAATTACCGGTCCGCGCTCTCTCTCAAGGACCGATAACTCTGCATGGGAGATTGAAAGTTTGGCGGGAAAATATGAATGCCTACTCAAATCCAATCTATTAGAAAAATCGAATTATTACAGAAGAGTGTCCACCATGCACTTACACTGCACTATTATTAATATAGTAGAATAGAATGATATACAAATGGATGAAAATTATATATACATGTAACTGTAATATACAGATATAAGACCACTCAGGTGCACCTTAAGTTTTGTTTCTTGGGATCATGCCCCATGCACCCCTCTCATATCATAAGTAGTTTTATAAATATATTCACAACTGTTCAAATTTCAAACTTTAAATATCTAGAAAATGCTATGACAAAACCTTTCTACAGCACCAGCCATAAAGACCCTAAATGATTTTGTCAAGTTTATGTTTGTTTCTCTGCATCAGATACGAGGAGGTTTGTAAAAGCTTTCAAGCTCACAATCCTAGAGCATCGTCCCTTGGTACCTGTTGCTGCTAAACAATCAAATATATAGATACATTTCCAGCAAATATAAAAAAAAAAGTAAAAATGAAATAAAAATAACTGCGGCAAATAAAATCGAGTGAGAGGACATTTGCCATATGTAGCAACCCTTAAATACTTTTTTTTGACTTAACATATAATAGCCTGGCCCTGTATAACTCTATATCAATATTGTAGGTGTATTATATATTAAATGACATGTAAAATACTGTAGGTTGTTAATATAATTCTTATATTTGTATGCCCCTCTGGCGACCTAATTTGGAAAATAAAATACCTTTGTTTAATCTGGGACATAATAAATTGACTAGTATCAAAGACATATTATATAAGGATTTGTGTACAAATCCTTGATCTCTACAAGTAATTCATTTTTTTTAAGTAATAAAATCGGATTTTTCATCCGATATTGTTTTGTAGGTTATTTTATTCTACTGGTACTCGGATAATTATTCACATTTCTCCCTTCCAGAACATTTACAAAACTGAATCAGGTTATGTAAACCAAGGTCAGGCAGATTTGCGAGGATTTGCATATGAAAATATTATAAAATGTAACCCTTTACTCAGTAAAAGGTAAAAGATCACAAGCAGTATTTTTCCAATTGTTGCTATGGATTTTTTTAAATAGTCAGTCTGATAGTTAGTCTGTTTGGATCAAATAAATCCAACGCAGACAGGCAGTTTTCTCGAAGTAAAAAATCAGTTAAAAGTCTTTTTAGTCAACAGACATATAATTTACATGACAACAGATGCAGAAAAAGTATAGCCATTGGAGGAGAAGCTTATCATCCTGCATACCCCGTTGAAATATCAAAAATACAAAGCTGGGCGTGATAATTGCTGCCTGTGTCTGTGATATGCTATAAACAGATGAATATAATTTCAACACAGGTACTTGTCTCAGAATTTTGTTTTACTGATACCGTTATATATCACAAGGTATTAGATTCAGCGGTCATAAGAAGAAATAATTTTTCAGTTGACCTTTCAGAAGGCATGCTACGAATGATTCTAACAACAAAGATAGGGTTACACTAATGTCCTGACGATTGTCCTGACCGATATGAAAATGCCAATTACTTTTTTATTTTTGAAAGGATTGACTTTAAATTTTGAACCAAGCAAGAAGACAACATTTATTTAATTAATACAAGATAAAAATTTAAAAGAAATATCTTAATTTTGACTTTTGCTGACTAATGTCCTGACCGATATGAAACTGCTACATACTTTTTTATTATTGGAAGGATTGACTTCAAATTTAAAACCAAGCAAGATAATAACATATATTTAATAATTATTCGAAAAAAAAATGGAAAAATAATGTTCCAAAGATAAAAAAACTTGACCTGACCAACATCGACTTTGCTGTGACTAATGTCCTGACCAATATAAAAATGCTAAATACATTTTTATTATGGGTATGATTGACTTCTTATTTGAAACCAAGTCAAATTATAAGGTTTTTTTTATACTTATCATAAACAAATTGGAAAACAATATTTCAAAGGTAATAAACAACTTGACCTGACCACCATCAACTTTATTCAACTTAGTACACAAACAAAAACATAAGTTCTTACCGTACATTCTCATTGAAATTATTATTTATCCTATCCATAAAACACAACATCCAAAGAAAATAAATATTGTTAAATGAAAAGATAGGCATGATAGGGGAAATATTTGTAAAAGTTGGGATCAATTTTTTTAAAACCAGGAATCACAGTATAAATGAACTTGTAAGGACTATTTCACTGCACTATTCATACTCATTGTCCTTAAAAACGTTTTAAAGCTATATTCAGAATTAATTCTATAAAATTGGAACCAAGGATTTGTACAAATCCTTATTGGAACAATTCTAATGACTTAAATTGTAAATTTATCATGAATAGATCATGTTTACAGATAATATACGGTAAGAACTTACAACGTTTTTGTTTGTGTATTAAGTTGAATAGGTTGAAGCTGGTCAGGACAATTTGTTATTACCATTGAAATATTGTTTTCCAATTTGTTCATAAGTATAAAAAAAACTTTATAATTCGACTTGGTTTCAAATAAGAAGTCAATCATACCCATAATAAAAATGTATTTAGCATTTTTATATTGGTCAGGACATTAGTCACAGCAAAGTCGATGTTGGTCAGGTCAAGTTTTTTTATCCATAAAATATTATTTTTCCATTTTTTTTCAAATAATTATTAAATATATGTTATTATCTTGCTTGGTTTCAAATTTGAAGTCAATCTTTCCAATAATAAAAAAAAGTATGTAGCAGTTTCATATAGGTCAGGACATTAGTCAGCAAAAGTCAAAATTGGTCAGGTCAAGTTTTCTAACTCCTAAAAATATTTTTTCTATTTTTTTTTCCTTGCATTTATGAAATAAAAGTTGTCATCTTGCTTGGTTCCAAATTTAAAGTTAATCCTTTTAAAAATAAAAAAGTATTTAGCAGTTTCATATCGGTCAGGACATTAGTCAGTACAGAGTTGAAGTTGGTCAGGTCAAGTTTTCTAACTCTTAAAAATATTTTTTTTAATTTTTTTTCATGTTTTTATTTAAGAAATGTTGTCATCTTGCTTGGTTCCAAATTTAAAGTAAATCCTTTCAATAATAAAAAAGAATTAAGCATTTTCATATCGGTCAGGACAATCATCAGGACATTGTCAGGACATTAGTGTAACCCACAAAGATACACCATTCTGTAGATAATTTAATGCAGATTTAGGACATAACACACTTCAGTGGGATAGACAAGCACAGAATGGAAATAAGGGGAAGCTTGAGTCTGATTTCATTTCTCATAATGTGAGATGGATACCTTGTGTTATATAAAAGTATGAGATGTCTTTTTTTTTCATAGACAAGTGCCTGTGATTTTCACCAATGTCCTACTAACCCTGTTTTAGAGTCAATATGGTATTTTCTAATTTGTCTGGCCACTTAACCCATAAGGCCAAAAAAAAAATATGTGTGTTTCCAGTTTCTCGACTGACCCTATTTTTTTTAAAGCCGATTTGCCGACCCTTGCATTTTTTTCGGCAAAAATCGTAATTTCCGGAATAACTCGGATGTCGTTTTGGCAACTGTTCCTCATTTCTCATTATTATATCACCCAACATGGCAGCGCACATGCTAGCCACATCCGCATCCAATCTACAAGTTACTACCGTAGGAACTCCCCTATTAGTCGGAAAATTGGGAGTAAAATTCCTAATCCAGAGAGGGGTACCGACTAATAGACGTGATCCAGCGACCAGAGGGAAAATCCAAGCTCAAGAAAAGTGGTCAGGAGTGAATTTCCTGGTCAAAACTACGTTGGTGATTGCCAAACCTACATAAACCCCTAAATAAAAAGTTTTTGTTGAAAAAAAAGACTACAAAACTGTCTTTGTGTTTTATTTGTTCTTTGTAAACTTTTTTCTGTCAATTCGTGTTGAATTTCCGACTGTTTCCGGTTTGTGTATTGATTTTCATGGTCAGATGGTTTGTGCATATAAACCCAAAAGAAAGAGCCAAGAACCAAAAATGAAAACGAGATAACAATGTACCAATTTTGTAAAAGGATGTTTTCAGCGGAGTTATTGTGTCATTATTGTGATATCATGATATCAATTCAATACTTATAAATCATACAATAAGCAAAAATAATTTTAAGATTCATTCCCAAGATCAAAATATTATTCATTATTAAAATGTCTCAGGTAAACACAAAAATTACAAAATTGATTGACAAGCCAATATAATCCATTGATAACCCCTAATTAAGAGACAAAAGGTTGTATTCACTAAGGGTGTGAAAAATATCAGTGATAGGTGAACAGATGACACTAATGAGTTGGGGTTATTAATATAAAGTTGATTAGCTTCACTTAATTTTTTTAATCCTTTAATCATCACAATATAATAAGAATTATGAAGCATACATGCTCATTTAACACTGAGTTATGTGTGCTGTGAAAAATATTGATTGACTTTTAATTAGTTCAGGTTCATATTGGTTTATGTTTGCTTTTCTCAAACAATAGGTTGTTAGTCATACCCTACAAAATCATTGATGCATTACGTAAACAACACATGGCTAATCAAACAGTGAACAAAACAACAGGAATGAATACATCTTTATTATTAACAGCAATATAAATTATCATAATCAACATCAACTTAATTCAAACCAAACAAACATTCATGCAGAAAATGTATATAATTCCTGGATTTGCATTGGTTTTACCATCGTTCAGTAACTGTCAGCTGCAAAAAAATGTCAAAATTTTGTCCGACTTATACGAAGGCCAAGACTAAATCCTTAGAATTTGGAGCTGAAAAGGGCAACCGATTAATAGTCGGATCGACTAATAGGCCAGTTTCTACGGTAGTCTATTGGCTTTAAGATTCTTAAAATGTGACCACATGGATATTAAGAGAAAGGAAATCATGGTTGTAGAAAACCGCAGAACGCTGCTAGATGTTTTCGAAGATAAACACGGTAAAATGACAAAAACATCTGACAGAAATAAAAATTACATGCAACACCTCAATGGACAATGCTGGAACATCTTTTGAAGTCCAACCAAATATAATTATTGGGGACCTCATTAGCACCTTCAATATGAAACACATAGAATTCAAATGTGTAAATACCGCACCAACTTTAGATAAAATGGTTATCGCAGCGGGGCAGGCTGCCACAAAGACAGCTGTATATTGCTGTTTATGTATCATAGGCACACATACAAACATACATTGGCTATTCTTTTATTCAAAAGAAAAAAAAAAAAACCTACCTATCTACCCTATTTTTTTCAGTCATGAAACAGGAAACACACATATTTGAAGTGGTAGTCTTAAACAAAAAGACATTTCAGGCTTAAAAAGACAACATTCTTCGTATATTTATTATTTTATAATATATTTTTGTCTGATTTAAGTGATCTGACTTCTTTTACCTCCAATCTCAAGCAGTTGAAAATTTCATTCACTCAACTTCCAGGTTTAAAGTTATTTTTCTTGTGTGAGATGAAATGTTTACAAGAGAACTAGAAGGCGTTGGAATTCTTGTGTAAAGAGTGTGACTGTTTAAAAATAAAGCTTAAGTTGTAGTATTCTTTTGTTAATGCTTAATCTTATAAAGAATAATAAGAGAAACATTTTGGTGGTATTTATAGTGGCCAGTTAAGGCCTTTTCACGTTTTCGGCCTTCATATTCTATCGGGCGAAAACGCGAAGACGTAAAACGCGAAGGCAAAAACGCGAAATATTTTTCCTTCTGAATTTCGCGTTTTCGGCTTCGCATTTTCGTGTTTTCGACTTCATGTTTTCGCGTTAGGAATACTGATATATATTATAGAATGCATGTATTGTTAATTGTTTATTTCAGACTTTTTTGTTTATTTGAATATATGTTTTAGTATGTTATAAATCAAATATGAGAATTTGAGTCAAATCGGTGAACATGCTGCTAATGCCCCTTTAAGACATAGGTACTTGTCTCGGAAAAAAAATCATATATAAATGTGTTATGTCACTGAGTGCCTGTGATCATTGTGCCTACCGAGCAGGGTAGTCAATGTATTTAAACACCCATTAATAGTAGTGATCATGGTGACCTAAGACACATGTTTCCAACTTTGGCAAGATTTATGATGTTGAAAACTTCTTTTGGTGTCAAAAGACAGTCATCAAATATCACTAGAAGATTTGAATGTAACATGAGTCCAATGCTGATTGTCTCATTATGTTTATGTATAATAATTATAAAAGTCTGAAATAAACAATTAACAATACATGTACTCGATAATGTATATCAGCCTTCCTAATGTGAAAACGCGAAGTCGAAAACGCGAAATCGGATAAAACATTTCACATTTTCGACTTCGAGTTTTTGCCCTATAGAATATGAAGTGCGAAAACGTGAAATGGCCTTAACTGGCTGACATAGGTATTACAGTTTAAGCCTGTGTAAATTGGGCAATGCAATTTCCCATACGTACTATTTTTAGGTCTAAAACTGGGTCATTTTCACCATGAAGTTTCATAAAAAATCATATTTTTAAAGTTTTCTTTTATTACGTACGACACTTCCAGTTCCGAAAACATGAAGTGATATTCGAAGTTATTTTGGAACTGAACTTGTTACTACTAGATGAGATAATGTAACCCTGTGTCTGCTGCTCTCTAAACAGGGTTACGATTCTGTCCAATAACTTGCAATTGAGCAGCCCTGATGTGATTCACTTCTGGCGCACTTATTTTGTTGAAACGTTTAGTTGTGCAGGTTTGTCAAATAGCTCAATTTTTTACAAATGAAATTATATTGCTATATGATTGGTTTTTAGTTATAAAATGGAGCTTTGATTGTGTTCAGTAAAGCTTGTTGCAGGTAGCTCAGTCATGTCAGTTACACACAGCAATAAAGCACGAAAGCTAATTAGCAGGCAAATTTTTCACTGAATGAAATATATTTTGTCGATTATATTGTTATAGATTCTTAACAAATTTTAAAAAGTTGTTTATAGAGGTCTTAGTTTAGTATGTATACATGCATTTGTTCAAAAATTTCCTTAACTTTATAGAAACGTTTCAAGAAACTCGTTTCATATGACTATAATCGTATGATATATTATGCAGGTCTGATGTAGTGTTATTATATCCGGACATTTATGAAGAAAAAAAACACATTTGTCCGACAAATATGATTTGTAAGACCTGGATAAAATATGGATCATATCTGAGAACCAGTAGGCAAATAAACAAACAAAAATTCTATGAATATTTAAGTTTCCCACAAAAAGAAATTTGATATGTGAATCAGCTATATTTACTTAACTAAGTGCAACCCTACACTTTCATTTCTCCATAAAGAAAAATCTGAAAAAAACACTTTTTATTCAAAAAATATTTATTACTTAAGATTCAAAGCCTAAAAGAAATCACCGCATTATAGACTTTTTTTTAACATTAAATTTTATACCCCCATCTCTTTGGAAATTTTAAAAGAAATTCAAAGACAAGATTTAAGCTTGCAAGCCCTATGTGTATGCTTTCTGAAACTAACATTATGACACATCTCCCAAAAATAAGCATGTTATGTAATTAAGCTAAACCTACACATGTATATACAAAGGGAGACAATTCAATCTCAGTTTTTCAAAATAATATTCAAAAATATAGATAAAGGGAGATAATTCAGAAGAAACATTTTTATTTTCATAAATAATAACTCTGCTTAAATAGTATTTACAAAAGTAAGAGACATTTTAACTTCATTACAAGTATATATATCCTTTGCAATACTTGGAACTGAGAGCATCAAACAACAACTTTGAATAAAACGTTTGTCAAGAAGTTATTAATGAAATAATTTCTATGAATAGATAGATATTCTGCTTTTTATAATGAAGTAAGATTGGCTATCTCATAGTATCCCTAGTTTTTTGATTTTGAGCTCTTAAATTTCCAATTAATTTCAATCAGTGGTTCAATGGAAAAACAACAGAAAACAAACTTTACAAAACAATAAACGAACAACAAATTTGACAGACATAAACCAACAACAGGCTCCTGACTTGGGACAGGATCATAAAGAATGTTAATCATGTTAATAGGCACCATTCCATCCCCCTTAACCCTGGACACTGGTAATACGGTACAACAGAAAAACAACAGAAAACAAGCTGTACAAAACAATAAACATACAACAAATATGATAAACAGCAACAAACGACAACCACTCAATGACAGGCTCCTGAATTTGGATAGGCACATATAGAATGTGTGTAAAGGGGTGTGGTTAACGTGTTTGTGAGTGCTCAACCCTCCCCTAACCTAGAACAGTGGTATTACAGCACAACACAAGAACAAACTGTAAAAATCAGTTACAATATGCTTGATTCAAAAGATCAGTGCAAGGCACAAAAACAACAAACATAGTATGCCTTTTTTAAAGTTAAATTCTCACAACAATATAGAATTTTCCAGAATCTGTTTGTTGTCACAAATATTCATTCTAGGTACAAGAGTCAGTGGCGGATCTAGATATTTTCATAAGGGGGGCCCACTGACTGCCTAAGAGGGGGCCCGCTCCAGCCATGCTTCAGTGATTCCCTATATAATCAACCAAATATTTCCCACAAAAGGGGGAACTGGGCACCCTGCCACCTCCCCCCCCCCCCCCCCCCCCCCCCCCCATAAATTCACCTCTGAGAGTTTAAACACTTATCCAGTTGTGTTTAATTCTTTTTTATTCTGCAAACTACACCCATCCAGATTCTTTGTATTACATGTAATCAATAATTACTGACAATACAGGATTTTTGGTGTTTTTATGAAGTTGGCTATGTTATTAGTGTAAACGTTGTTTTCCTGTGCATTGATCCAGTTTTACAAACATTATAGGCTGGCCAGAAAATTCAATTTCTTTGGTATGATTTGTCTTTGATAAACACTTATGACATGTATGATGGTTGTTTGAATCATAAGAATATTGTATTTACTCTGTGATAAATTCATTTAAGCATCATGTATAATTAAGAAAAAATAAAAAATATCTGAATATCTATTTAAAGTGTCCTTAATTGTTTACAGACACGTAAACCATTCATTCAACCTTTTTTTTAGGGCATTCTGTTGTTACGATGAGATGTTTGTCAGAATCAACTTTTTTATCTCCTGCTCTTTCCAAGAAATTTTTTGATCACATCAGTATGATGCTCGCACGAATGTAGAAAAATATGGCAAGTGCACTTTTTTTACCCCAAATATTTTAGTGTCATGCTCCTTTAATTTCTACCTGGAGCTCTGAAAACATAGACCAGTTTGGGCAAACTCCTCATGTATTCTGTAATTACCAATCATAAAGCTATATCTTATGTGAAAATTATTATAAAGAAAGTAGCACTTGATCAAACTGTTAATTGCTCTTGGTTTTTTTTGTGTTTTTTATCTGCAATTAAATTCTTTCAGTTTGTGTGAATAGTGTTTAAATAGGATACACACGGATATACATTTTTGCCTTGTGCAATGATACATCTAGAGATGATATAATGAGACAGACAGTCATCTTTATCTTGTAATTATAGTTTTCTTTTGTTTTATATTCTAGGATTTGTTAGTAGAATGGCAAGCACCAGTCGTTATTTATCAATAGCCCCTCAATTTTTAAGATGTGCAACAAGAAGAAAATTTCCATTTGTTAGAGCATTCGCCTCATCTGCTAATAGATGGTCATCGACATCCATAGAACCAAAAATTATACCAGTAAAAGAAGACAAAAAGAACTTTACACCAGATGTCAATATTTCAGGCAAAACTATTATCAGTAAAATATTCAGTCCAGACAAACATTCAGATTCCAAAGATAATGAACAGAAGGAAGAATCCCAAAATATAAAACCAGATCTATTGAATATGGTAAATGAAAACCAATCAAAAGGAAGTAAAATACATGACATCAAAAGTAAGGTCAACACTAAACCATGTCAAGAAAATGGAGACAGTGTGTTAAGAAATGTAAAATCTGCTGTTGAACATGTTTTGAAACAGATTAAATCTGAAACAGAAATAGAAAAAACTATACAGCTATCTATAGATGGGATAGAAACACATTCAAAATACTCTAAAGATGTTCATCGTATTTTGACAACTGGTTTACAAAGAATAAGCATACTTAGCACAAATAATGAATCGTCAGTTGTAAATGATGGAAACTTTAAACAGCTGATAGAATACGTAGAAACAAATTACAAGAAGTTATCACTGAAAGAATTATTGGATTGTTCCTGTTCACTTATATCCCTATTCCCAGAAGATGTTGCTGTTGTAGAGCTTGTTGAAAATGAGTTAATGTGGAAAATCAGGGAAGCTGACTTGGATTTAGTTATTGAGCTGCATAAATGTCATGAGGCACCCAAAACTCCGTTAAGAAAAACAGTACGTGTTCATTGTGAAGGCCTAATCAAAAGACGTATGACAGAAACCAAACCAGTACATCTTTTGTATCTAATGAAACATTATAGCACAAGAAAAGATACTAAGTTTTTCTATAAGCTAGAAGACCGAGTCTTTGATTTGATAGACCATATGTCAGTAAATAATTACTGTAATATCATAAATTATTCCGCAGTCCGTGGTTCTAGAAATGAATCATTGTTACGTTTGGTTTTGTTTTATTTAAACAAAACATACAAGAAAAGACATTTACAGCAAATTAGCAGTCTTTTATTTTCATGTGGAAAGCTAGCCATATACGACATTGAATTGTTTAATAAATTATCAGTGGACCTAATGAAATCTGATTTAAATAGCAGCAAGTTTACACTAAACATTCTAAAATCTGCAAGTATATTAGGATGGCGTCATGAAGAGACATTGTCATGTCTGTTAAACCAGCTTGTTAATGAAAAACAGGAACTTGATCTAGTTGATGTAGAAAATCTTCTCTTCTCAGCCTCTTCTTTAAATTATTGTCCAGAAGACAAGGCTGAGCTGTTGCAGTCCCATTGCCTTAAGTTGATAGATACATGTACGAAAGAAACATCTCGATTACCATGGTTGAATATAGTTTGGTCACTAGCAGTTTTAAAGAAAGCCACACCAGAGTTAATAGCAACTGTGTTGGAACCTGAATTCATAAAGCATCTTGAGCAGGGAGGTTAGTGGATTAATGTTCACGGAGATTTCTTATCACAAAATATTTTGATTTTAATGTTATCTTTTAGCAATTTATTTTCTTTGTGTTTTTGCTTACTGAGCCTAAATTGCCAGTGTAAAATATTCTCATTACAAAGTGACTTGGAGTCTGTTGTCAGTTGTCTAGCACCACTAAGTTTATACAGTCATCTTTAGGATGTCAGATTTGTTCTTTGTGTTCCTTCAATCCACCTGCATTGACACTATTCTTAAAATAGAATGTAAGAGTAGAAGCAAGTAATTTTCTAATATCTTGAAAACTATATATTAGAGAAAGTTTGAATGCATAAAAATGCTTAGAACAATGTAGAATGTCAAGATCTACCTACATTCCATTTACTCTTGAATTGTACGATGACCCTTTATATGAGTTATTGCCCATACTAATCATGTTAGTTGCCAAATTTTAGGGTTCCTGGTAATAATCTTGAAACTATAAGAGATGGAGAGAACTTGCAAAAAATAATCAGCAATACAAGATCTACAAAACTGTTAATTTGACTGCAACCATATATTTTGACTTCTCATGGGAGTTATTGCCCTTAAGTGATGATTATTGACTCATACTTATTTCATACTGTACATATATATGATGATATGAATTTTTGGAAACGTGAATAGTATTTTTAAAAACAATGAGCTTGGTAAAGATAATTCATTGGTCATAAATATTGTTATTTTGTGATGACTGATTTCGAGGGGAGAACCATTTTATTTTAGAGAAGAAGGTTGGATAATTTGGTAAACAATATTTAACAGGCTATTATTTGAACTTGGAATTATTTTTAATTATGGAATTTGCATTATTTCTTGTGCTTGAAATTTTTAATGAATTCCATGTTTATTTTGTATTATAATGTTCTGTGCTACAACACTTTCTATTACAAAGAAGATAGCACATTTTCAATAGAATGTACTGTGCCGCGCACAACACTATCTATACAAAATACATAGTGTGGAAAGTGTTATGCACCGCTCAAAACATAATAATACTTGATAAACATGGAATTTATCAAAAATTTCAAACACATGAAATTATGCAAATTCCATAATTAAAAATAATTCCAAGTTCAAATAATAGCCTGTTATTTGTTATTCTAGTTTTAATTTGATTATTCAAAAGTCGTTTCAACAAATATTAGAGTCAGTTCAATGTATTATTTCAGGTGCAGAAAAATGGCAGTATCAATCTAAACTATTAGGCCTTAACAGTGCTGCACACTTTGATGTTCCAGATTATAGTGGGGCTTATTTACCACAGGACTTTTTATCAAAGTGTGAACAAGGAAAGGTAAATACATGTTTCATATGTACAAGGCAGTCAATGACAGTATAGCAAATACAAAATTAATAGACGTTATTTTTAGGTATACACTTTATATTGTATAACAAAAAATATGATATAAAATGACATGTTTATACATGTACCACATGGCATATTAAGATGTAACATCTTTTTCAGAACAATGCAGGAAAGAAAAAAATGTGTGATGACATTTCATCTGCATTGCAAACATTTGCACCCGAAGACCAGTTCTGTAGAAGAAATATGATGACAGCAAATGGCAACAAAATTGGTAAAAATTTCTTTATCTTCTTGCAATTTGTGAAAGATAGCTATAAAGAGATTATAAAACTTCCTATTCCATATATGTTGTTGTATCATACTATGATACATAGCAAGATAATCATTTCAGCCTGAGCCAAGGGTCTGATTATTACTCTGATATGCGTTGGAGAGATCATTCTTAAGACTGATGTGTAGTTTCACTGCCTATATGTCATTTCTGACTTGCAATATTTATTCCCCACGTAACAAAGTTGTAGAGAGTATAACATTTTTGCCCAGCCGTCAGTCAGTCTGCCATCACTAGCACCTTCATTTTGTCTCGGATCCTGGTGAAAATTGAAGGAAAGTTTCCACTCCACAATACCATGGATGAGTTTGAAAATTAGGAAAATCTTGGGAACCATTTTTATTAGAGGGGGACTTCTTAAAATATCTCGTATAAATCCTTATTGCAAGGATTTTGCCTTCATTAGGGCCTGGTTGACTGGTTGGCACTTGGCTGTGCCCTATAGTAATCACTCAGTCTGTCTGTCTGTCCATATATTTTCTTTCTTCCATATGTCTGTTCATCACCACTTCTATGTGGTATGATAAGTCAAGACTGGCTCAACTAATTTTCTAAATTTGTATTCACAATCTTTTAAATACCTATAAACGTAATAAAGATTTTTTTGTGAAATTTTTACAAAAAAGTACATTAGAAAATACTACTTGTGTTAGATATTAACTTGTGATGCAAAGTTTGTTATTTATTTCAGATGTAGAGCTGTGTGTAGACAACTCTGGACTCCCTGTAGAATATGTAAATGCACAGGAATCATCATCAGAGTTTCATAGGTAAGTGGTTACAGATGGTAATTAAATCTAATTACAAAAATAGGTCTTGAAACATTTTTGGAGAAAAAATTAAAATTAAATTGTTCTTGGTTTAATTGAAACACTGGAAAATTTGTACAATTGCAAATATAAGGATTACAAAAAAAAATTTGACCATGCAAATTTTTATTGACCTTGCCTTACCCCTATACAGGTTATACTTTTAGTTAAGTATTCAAATTACTCAAGAAATAGAGATACATACCCAGGACGTAGAATTCCATCCAATAAAATATTGACAACACATCTTTTTGGCAATAAGGACATCAATGGTTGTGTTTTAATCAGTTATGCAATTTAACTTTGATCATTAAGTTGACATAATTTCATTTCTTTTTTCCAACAATGAAAATCAGAAAAAAATATGTGATATGAGAAGTCCATGTAAACAAGAATTTATGTCAATTTTAATCTTTCTTTGTCCTTTTTATCCATTATTGCATAATTGAACCTGCAGTAATTCAGTCACTGTAGTATTTATTTTGATAATCAATCGCCTCATCATTGATTTTCCATTGTATGGATGCATTAACAACATGGTTCTGTTGACATTTTATAAAAACACCATTGCATCTTTTATGCACAGAAAAATATGCCAGTGCAAGTGAAATTATGCGACAAAAAACCCACCATGAAAACAACATGTCAAATGAAAATGTCTGAATTGTATAAGATGTCTCTTCCAGTCACAATCTAGGCAGATTTTATTATTAAAGAAAATATTGACCATTCCTGTAACATCAGGCCATACATTTTTCATAATAAGCAACATGGTCCTTTAATTATTTATTTCACATTTTATTACTATCCTTGATTTGATGTTGGTTGATATCTTGTCTTATTACAAAATGTTTAACAACACATAATTAGTTACAATGATTTTTACAGAGTGGCTGTCAAAGTTTTAGGATTCCATGATCTAACTATTCCTGGAAAACTACTCAAAGGTCCTGTAGATATGGAAATCAGACATCTTGGTTGTCAAGGTTACAAGGTTCTCACAGTGAGTTTAAAATCTTTTTTAATCTCAAGTTTTCAGAAATGTATGTGTCATTTACATTACATTATTTTGTATTACAGAATTAACAGTGCAACCTTGATAAGTTGAAATAAATGATCCAACAAAAATTAATTACCATGGTGTGCTTGATTTGAACAAGTTTCAAATGGTAGCACATTTAATATTTAAACAACCAGAATAACAAAGCTGTTTCTGAAAAAATAAAATCTTCATAAAGTGATTCTGATGGATATTAATATATAAAGCATATGGTTAACAAATAGTCAAGTATATAATTTTAATTGATTGATATTAATTTGGAAAACAAAATTGTATAATTTTAAACTGAATTGGAAATGTTGCTTTAATTGTTAGTAATTGAAAAATTAATATTCTCATACTATCTCAAGCTCAATTTTCTGTTAATCAAAGGAGAGCTTGTATTTGTTAACTTTAACATTAAAAAATGGAGCTGGTATTCATGAACCTTAATATTGATGTATGATTCCCCTGAATAACTTGGTTTTATATTTTTTCAGATAACACACAATGAATGGATGAATATCAAGACTACAGAAAAGGCAGAATATCTTAAACACAAACTGAAGGAATTGATCTTGTGACAAACATTATGTTTTTAGATTTATTAAATTGATTTTTATGGAGAATGTCAATATTTTAGAAAACAATCTTTGCTGTTTAATAGCAGTGGGAACCAATCTCTAGTTAGTCCCCTACCGACGAAGTCGAAGGGGACTTTAGGTTTGCACTCAGTCCTTCTGTCTGTCTGTCTGTCCATCTGTCAGTCCGGCAAATCAGTTTTCCAGACTTTTTTTCTTCATGCTTGAAGATATTGATTTGATATTTGGTTTATTTTTTTATCATGACAATTGACAGGTCAAGTTCAATTTTCACGATTTTAGCTTTTCTCTTTGTTCAGTTAAAGCCCTTTCCCTAGAATTAAATTTTTGATGAAATATTTATTAATTAGTAGATTTCTGTTCAAAGGGAAATAACTCATTTTAAAAAAAAAAATTTAAAGACAAAATGATATTTTGGATTTTTTTTCCTTGTCTTTGGTAAATTGTTTGAAGAATTTAGTGGAAGTTTGTTTGTCATTCTTGAAGATATTGATTTGATAATTAGTATATAGTTTTATCATGACAAGTTACAGATCAAGTTAGAATTTTGTTCTGGTCTGATGATTTTGTGCAGAGTTATGGTTTTTGGACATAGAAAATTCACTTAAATAATCAGTTTTCAACAGTTTTTATCGTCATGCTTGAAGATTTTGACTTGATATTTTTATGTAGTTTACACCATGACAAGTTATAGATCAAGATAGAATTTCGTTCCATTACAATGAATTTTTAACCAGTAGGGGACTATGTATTGCCATGCAATACTCACAGAATGCTTGTTTTCAATTTGATTTTTAAAATATTTCATTCATTATTATTGATTAAGCTGAATTAAACTTACAGACTTAACTTAACAGTTAAATTAATTCAATACAGTATTTTAGTTACGTCTCTCCTTATGCATACAATCATAAACTTATGACATCACCAAATTTGTACCTACCATGAGTAACATGACGGATGCCAATAACGGAGCAGGATTTACTAGATATTGTTTTACCATGCAAATGATTAAAGAAAATTCAACCTTATCTATTTAGCAGTAGTAGCATTCTGGAATCCAGACAGAAAATTACACTTTACAATCATTCCATTACACCAAATATAGTTAAATCTAAAGCTTATGGTATCTGAAAAACAAAGTAGGCTTAACCAGGAAAAGTTATCATTGATCAATGAAGCATGTAAAACTGGTCATGGTTAGATGGTCCTTGCCAGACAGACATGTGTTGAAAACCGTACTTTGACCTATAATAGTTTACTTTTATAAATTGTGACTTGGATGGAGAGTTGTCTCATTGGCACTCATTGATGAAATTACACTGTAAAAAAATTTGGGTCATGAATTTTAAAGTAAAGTAGTGATTTGGTCCAGCTAAAAAAGGTTAAAAATTAGTATTTTGGAAGCTGTCAAAAGAATTCAAGACCCTCTTAACATAAAATTGTCCATATTCATAGGTTGCACTTTGTAAATACAGCTGTTTCACAAGCCACGCCTCTTTTGGGGAGATATATTATATTCATAGATATGTTAATTTGTTAACCTACTGGTTCCCAGATATCATCTCTGTGTTTCATCTCATAGAGACATAACTTGGGAATGTTACCAGTATAGAATAAAATGCTCCGCTGAACGAGCTTGATACGACCGCAGAGGTCGAACCCTGAACAGTTGGGGCAAGTATGGACACAACATTCAAGCTTGATACAGCACTGACTTTGGATTGTGATTAAATATTTGACACAGCATAGGTTTCTGACACAGAATAAATGTGGTCTAAGAACTTAACATTTTTTAATCTATTTATTCAAACCATATCATTATTATTTGCTTTTATATATAAATCAGAAATAACGAATTTAAAATGGAAAATTTTAAAGAAAAAAAAGGAACCCCCCCCCCCCCCCCCCCCCAATTTTTAGAACCCCCTTATGATTCATCACCCCCAAACTCAATCCCAGCCTTCCCTTTGTGGTATGGTACCTTGCAGTACAATTTCAGAGAGATCCATACACTTGAACACAAGTTATTGTCTGGAAACTAGAAAAATGCTTGTTTTTTGGCCCCAAGTTCCTAAACGTTTAGGGCAATTACCCCCAAACTCAAACCCAGCTTTCCCTTTGTGATATGGAACCTTGTAGTACAATTTCATAAAGATCCATATACTAACACACAAGTTATTGTCCTGAAACTAGAAAAATGCTTGATTTTTTGCCCCTTTTTGGCCCCTAATTCCTAAAATTTTGAGGCAATTACCCCCAAACTCAATCCCAGCCTTTCCTTTGTGGTATGGTACCTTGCAGTACAATTTCAGAGAGATCCATACACTTGAACACAAGTTATTGTCTGGAAACTAGAAAAATGCTTATTTTTGGCCCCTTATTCCTTAACGTTTTGGGTAATTACACCCAAACTCAATTCCAGCTTTCCCTTTGTGATATGGAACCTTGTAGTACAATTTCATAAAGATCCATATACTAACACACAAGTTATTGTTCTGAAACTAGAAAAATGCCTGATTTTTTGCCCCTTTTTGGCCCCTAATTCCTAAAATTTTGAGGCAATTACCCCCAAACTCAATCCCAGCCTTCCCTTTGTGGTATGGTACCTTGCAGTACAATTTCAGAGAGATCTATACACTTGAACACAAGTTATTGTCTGGAAACTAGAAAAATGCTTGTTTTTTGGCCCCAAATTCCTAAACGTTTAGGGCAATTACCCCCAAACTCAAACCCAGCTTTCCCTTTGTGATATGGAACCTTGTAGTACAATTTCATAAAGATCCATACACTTACACACAAGTTATTGTCCTGAAACTAGAAAAATGCTTGATTTTTTGCCCCTTTTTGGCCCCTAATTCCTAAAATTTTGAGGCAATTACCCCCAAAATCAATCCCAGGTTTACCTTTGTGGTATGGTACCTTGCAGTACAATTTCAGAGAGATCCATACACTTGAACACAAGTTATTGTCTGGAAACTAGAAAAATGCTTATTTTTGGCCCCTTATTCCTTAACATTTTGGGTAATTACACCCAAACTCAATTCCAGCTTTCCCTTTGTGATATGGAACCTTGTAGTACAATAATTTCATAAAGATCCATACACTTACACACAAGTTATTGTCATGAAACTAGAAAAATGCTTGTTTTTTTCCCCTTTTTTGGCCCCTAATTCCTAAAATTTTGAGGCAATTACCCCCAAAATCAATCCCAGCATTCCCTTTGTGATATGGAACCTTGTGGTACAATGTCAGAGAGATCTATACACTAACACACAAGTTATGTCTGGAAGTTACAAAAATGCTTATTTTTGGCCCCTTATTCCTTAACTGTTGGTACCATAACCCCCAAAATCAATCCCAACCTTCCTTTTGTGGTATTGAACCTTATGGTAAAATTTCATAGAGATCCATTCACTTAATCTAAAGTTAGAATGCGAAAACCAATGTGTCTTCGGACGACGACGACGTCGTACCAATATACGACCGCAAAATTTTTTTGCAGTCGTATAAAAACATGGTAGCGCCTAAAATTTAATTCTTAGGAGGTCCAAAAATGGAGGTAGGGGTAGTATATAATTTTAGTATAAGTTTAAACTCTTAGAAGTTCAGGGCATATAAATGTTGAAAATATGCCGCTCAGCCCTATATTTTGACCTTTGAATAAAATAGTAGTGCATATCAACTTTCCGTTCTGGGATATAATTTTTCATGTAACTTCACAGTAAAAGTGGCACAGTTTTAGCTGCAAAGGGAGTTCCTATGGGAAATTGCATTGTCTATATTTACAGAATTGCAACCTCAAGTTAGAGCTGATGAAGTTTTCTATAATTTTAATATAATTTGTTCCAAAAGTAGTACACCACACTGTAAAAATATTATTGAGAAAGCGCAGGTGGGATTTTTTTAATTTTCATTTATTGTTTAAAAAAAATGCACTACGAAATAACTGTGTTCTCAGGCCTAAGATATGCTATACTAAAATAAGGGTATTGGAGTCCGATCACAAATTCACACTCATCAAACTGCAAAGGAAAAGGTACTATATGTGGCTGTTTTATCCCTTTAAAATAATTGAGAGATACAATGATTAATAACACTTTTTAAAAGTGAAGAAAAAAAGCCTCTACAAAAATGTAAAATTACCTAGGCTCAGTAGGCTGTAATGAGCTAAGGGAGATAAGTAAGATTTTAGCAAAAGTATGCAAATTTCAAGAAAATTTGGATTAAACTGACAAATGCATCAGATATAAGTTTTCCCAGCAGGTAGATGAAATAACAAGACCAATACTGGGTCAGGACCTGTGCCACTGCATGGTATTGATTGAGGTAACATTTATACTGGAGCACAACTGAATTTCCTTGTAAAATGCTGTAGACCAAATATAAAAACCATTCCTTCTCATAGAAGCCAAGAAAACTTTGATGAAAAATTACCTTGTAAAATGAGTATTGTAAAATTTCAAACTAACGGCAAACAGGAAGTGGCTACACTGCTGATGTTAAAATTGCTTAATCCCTACAACTCAACATAATCAAGCTGCAGACAAAATATTAATTCAATACCTTTCATAGAAGCCAAGAAAACTTCGATGAAAGTTTCCTACCCATGGTCTTTCAGATGGATGAAAGAACAGAGTCCAGGGGTTACTAGGTCTGCTTTTGTCCTTCGGTGATACAGGTAAAAATAAATAATTATGATAATATCTTGTTGGTTGAGAGAAGTGCTCTATACAATTTCTAAGCATACACATGTGCAAGTCAATGTGTCAAAATATTGTGTATTTTCTGATTTTACATTTTAATATCATTTCACTGATGTATTTTCAATGAAAACATTTTTTTAAACCAAACAAAATTTTTACTTTTTTTTCTAAGGGCTAATTTAGTCATCTTTTTCCATAGGAGTTTGTCTATTTTGTCAAACCACATAAATCTTTTTTTCCTTCATATTTCCTAATACACTTCACACTAACTCTGGGTAAGATTCATTGAAATGCATCAAACATCTAGACAGAGTTCTGACTTCTTACCCAATAATAACCCAACTCTTCAGCATCCCTGTATGTTTGTAATTAATTACAAATGTATCTTTTATATATCACATTTTATTAATCATATCAAAGTAAATACAAGCATTAAATAATTTTGTAACAATATTTCCTACTTTAATATACATAAAATATATTCATACATACAGTAAAATTTCTAAAAGTAATATTAGCTAGGCGACAAAATTAAAAACAGAAGTACAAGACAACAGTGCTAAGTATTATGACAGAGAGCATTTATCTGATGTGAGCTGAATGAAAGTTTATGTTACACAATTGGCAGGACAATATTTACAATATTTTTTCTTTGGACACACTAATAAATTTACTGGTTAGAGTTCTAATAATTTGCCTTAACAGAAAATTGAAAATATTGCAATTGGCTGATATCACAGTTATGCCGTCTTGTGAGCTACCCACTTAAAATCTCTCTGAGGACCCTGCTATTTAATAGATTTACAGTTATGTTTTTACTGGCAAATATAGTAAAAAAAAAAATATATGATGCTTTGCCAAATGAAAAAAAAAATATTCATAACTCAAACATTTGACAGCAGCTGCCTTAAAAATCAACAAATAATCATCATGATCATACTAATAAATATATGTTTTTACTCGGCCATCCATTAAAAGTACAAAAGTTATAAATATTTTGGTTGTTAAAATATTTCTTTATTCATGGTGGCCATTTTTATAGAGCAACATTAACAGATACTTTAAATACTATTCATTAACTTGCTATAACAGTAAAATGATTGATGCAAAGTGAAGTTTGAATGACTTCTTTTAATACAACTATCAGGTAAACTTGACTTTCAACCTATGCATTTTAAATTTAATAAGATTTAGCTTATCCCCAGATATTAGGGACAGATAAAATACCAAACATTTTGTACTTTTCAAGTATAAATTCAAGGAAAATCATATGACTTCATAAAAAAAAAATGAAAAAATCATATATTCTTCATTTATAGTAGTAGGTGTAATAAAGCTTGCTATTAGCCCAAGAAAAAAAAAATTTGTGGTGACGATTCCAAATTTTAAAATTCATTGTACAATAAAGGTGACTACATATACTTGTCTTACTTTATCCCTTTCGTAACTTTGATGCTAGAGGATTATAAAGCAAAAGTTATATAAATGTAGCTAAGTAAACTCAACAAATTAATTTTGTATTTGATGCTGCTACATATAATCATTTCATGCAATTTTATTTACAATATAATATAATACTAAAAGCTCATTTCTAATATGGATTTAGCAACTGTATACTAAACAACATTAAACATAAACAAAGAAATGGATATAAATAGCACCATATAACATGAATAATACAAGATTTATTTTAAGGATTTTGATCCTTTGTAAATTTCGATTAAAAAAATTCATAAAGTTTATCTTTGGCCTAAAAACTTACCAAAACTTTTAAAATATAAAAAAAAAAAAAAAAAGAGTTTCACACAAATCTTTCTTATTTTTTTCTGCAATAAATTGTGTAACTATTACATGTATAATTATGTCAAAGCAACACTAACCCCTGTAGCTTTTACAAAACAAGTTCAATCTTTGCAGCTGATTGATGATGATTTAGGGATCATAGATTTATTCTTACGAGGAAGCTCCGAGCATGCTCGGAGGATGCTCGGAGCTTTTTCAGTAGGCTCTTCTCTGCAGTTTATGTGAAAATAATTATCATGATCCATTAAGATGTCAATCAAATCTACACCACTTCTATAATAAGGAAAGTTGAGCATTATAGAGGAAGCTCAATTAACACCTGTGTAAACAACTGATCTATTCAAATACATTTTGCATGAAATTTTACAAATTATAGAATAGATAAGAAATTCTTCAACAGTAATGTGTAATGCTTGGAAAGAAATCTCAAGTCTCCACAAAAAAGTGAAAGTCATTTAACAAAAAATATACAATTATTATATTTAATAATAATTTCTTTTTTTATAATAAAAAAATTCTCAAATTTTATAATTAGATGATATGATTTAAATATAGTTTATATTATATAATATGCTACATAAAAGTTATCAAGACACAAACAACAGTCAGGGGGCGATACTAAACGAGTTATTTTTTTTAGTTACTTATATTAATAGGTATTTTTTGTTTTTTTAAATTATTTGATATAATCTCAATTGTTATTTTAAATGTCAAAAGTGGACTAAATGTAGTTTTTAAGAATTTTTATATCATTTCATTAAGTAAAATTAAGTATTTATCCAACTTGAGATTAGTATAGAGAGGTTACTTTAAAAATAATGACAAAAATATTACTTTTATAAATTATCTTATACATCTTCGAAAAACTAAGTATACTTACAATTATTTAAGGAACATATGTAATTGTTTTTGATAAATATTTCAAATTATAAATAACTTCAAGTCTTAATTTAATCACAAGGTTCCATCCATTTATATTTGTTCATCTCTAAGATTTTGAAGGAAAATGCTATTTTAATAGCCCCAAGAGACCAATCTATGACCAAGAAGTGTGGCATCAGAAAGGCAATTAGTGTTTCAGGAGGATTTAAATAGTTTTATACTGCATGGGGAAAATAACCAGATGTGAAAATTTGTTAAAGCTTGTAAAACCTGTATGAATGGACACCTATAGAAATAATATTAACAGAAGTTACTTATTCATGATATATAAGTAATATTTGAAACAACCTTGTTTTCAATATAACTTGTAAGGTAATTTTGAAAATTATAAGTTTTTAAATAATTGTAAGTATACTTAGTTTTTCGAAGATGTATAAGATAATTTATAAAAGTAATATTTTTGTCATTATTTTTAAAGTAACCTCTCTATACTCATCTCAAGTTGGATAAATACTTAATTTTACTTAATGAAATGATATAAAAATTCTTAAAAAATACATTTAGTCCACATTTGACATTTAAATAACAATTGAGATTATATCAAATAATTTAAAAAAACAAAAAATACCCTATTAATGTAAGTAACTAAAAAAAATAACTCGTTTAGTATCGCCCCCTGACTGTTGTTTGTGTCTTGATAACTTTTATGTAGCATATTATATAATATAAACTATATTTAAATCATATCATCTAATTATAAAATTTGAGAATTTTTTTATTATAAAAAAAGAAATGATTATTTTAAAAATATAATAATTATATTTTTTTTGTTAAATGACTTTCACTTTTTGTGGAGACTTGTGATTTCTTTCCAAGCATTACACAGTACCGTTGAAGAATTTCTAATCTATTCTATAGTTTTGTAAAATTTCAGGCAAAATGTATTTGAATAGATTAGATGTTTACACAGGTGTTAATTGAGCTTCCTCTATAATGCTCTACTTTCCTTATTATAGAAGTGGTGTAGATTTGATTGACATCTTAATGGATCATGATAATTATTCTCACATAAACTGCAGAGAAGAGCCTACTGAAAAAGCTCCGAGCATCCTCCGAGCATGCTCGGAGCTTCCTCGTAAGAATAAATCTATGATCCCTTAATATTTGGGCATTTTAACACCTGCTGCTGGTCCTTTCCTAGGAAAAAAACTTATATGCTTATCTACTAATGATATTGTCTCTGTAGACTAATTTCTGTAAAATATTTTATTGTTTTCAGTTATTTTTTTCTCTCTTATTTATGACTGCCCTTATACAAACAATCAAAGTAAGGTTCTAAAAAACCCATCATATAAAGAGCATTCATACTTGGTCAAGTAGTTCATTTATATAAATTAACAAATAAACTACATAGTCCTGCATAGGAACAATGAAACCTAGTCCACTACACTTTTTTTCATACATTTGTTAGAAGTATGACCAAGGTATTTAAAACTTAAGGTTAATGCTACAGATTAACATTTAAACACAGTGTAATAGTATGTCTATCTGTTCACCATATTTAGATACCGTAGAATGACTAAATGGCAGTGTGAGTATTTTAATTTATATTTCTATGTACATCTAAGCTGAACGACTTATTTTCTTCGATTTATCAGCTGTCTTTGCTGGAGGTGCTGCATCAGCTGCTATGTGTCTTCCATACAAACTGTAAAAAAAGCAAAATCATTTTGTCACTTAGAAGATTTCTTAAAGCATGTTAGATATTTATAGATTTTTTTTTTTTTAACAAGATGCCTTTTTTCTTCCTCATCTCATTGAAGGATGTCAGTTTTATTTGATATCTACAACTTCAGTAAGCAGATTATTTATTTTTCTGCTACCAGGAAAAAGTTGGTGATTAAAAGGTGAATATTGATGAAAAAAAAAAAATTAGGAAACAAATAAAGTATGTTTTGTATGCTTTACAATGGATATAAAATGACTTTGAGACAGAAAGTTGTCACTCTTAGTCGACCAAATCTATGTTTTCAATATGGACTGGGCTCTGGTATCTCACTGCCATTAACACGATTAAGTCCCATAAACAGGCTGTGAAATGCCAGGGCAATCTCAGACTAGCATTTCACTTACATATTTTAACAAAAATTGAGAGTAACATATTTGGGTGGGTTAAGATGGCCTTATTTTGTATCAAATAGAGAACAGTAATATTTCTTGACCATGAGCAATTTAGTTAAACTATTGAAGAGATTAAATTGTGTGAACATCCATGTTTAAACATCCTATACACCAAGCCTTGTAAAGCATTAAACCTCTATTGATATACTTAAGGTAATATATGATTGATAGTTGTCTGTTGAATGTCCAGTGATGTATATTTTATGTATATTCAGGATGAACATCAATCAAAAAAATAAATGTTATTGTATGTTTTTCAAAGTGGGTTGACTAGGATGAAGAATTGGTCAAACAGTTCAAATGTTATTGCAATGAAACGACAAAGTGCCATTTTCCAATCTATCAAGGACCATAACTCCTGAATGGTAAAAGTGAAAATCATCAATATCAAACTTTACCTCCATTTTGTCATCTGTAACAACCTATTAGATTTGAAAAGCATTGGTTGAATTATTCATAAGTTATTGCAGGAAAATAGTTGGCACCTGCTCACTGTACTTCCCCATTTTAGTAACCCTGATTTTTTGGAAAACTTGCTATACAGCAGTGAGAAGTCAACCTTCTAACACAATATCACAGTTTAGAGAAATCTTAATATCACCATTGACTTCAATAAGTGTTTATGCCTGTCCAAAGTCAGTTAGTGGTTGTAATTTATCTATCTCAATGTTTTTTTCATTTGGAGAATCTGATAATTTCATGACAATTATCAGGCCTTTTGAGTATGAAATTGATCCGAAAAACGAGAGAATATTTGGCTGAAAATATTTATAGAACAGAAATTCATGGATACATCTTCAAGAAAAAACAAGAATGCTTTTTAAGAAACCAGTGACAGCAGAATTTTGAGGGTCCATGGTCAAGAGAATTAATTTTTTCTGTTTCATGTAACCATAATTATAAAATAATACTTACTATCTGTATGTATCAGATCTGATGTAATCAAACACATGTGACACACCAAGCTGGTACTGTTCAGCTATTGGTGTTACCCATGGGTTATTTTCTCCTCGGAATACTTGCTTTGATCCAACCAGATCTAAATGCCCAATTTCAGGTGGCAATACTGTCAGTCTATTTCCCTGGACATGTAACTCCCTCAATCTTGGCATCTCACCAATCTCTTTTGGTAGAGAAATCAGATCATTGTCCCTTAAAACCAACTGTAAGGCAATTTATATGAAATTTAATTACTTTAACTCATTTGACAAATATATATTTTAGTAATCTGACAAAACTATAGGTGTCCTTCGTACACCTAACATAAATAAAGCAAGTCTAAAACCTAACATAAACTGTTAACACAGAGATATGTCTCGCCTATTTGTAATTTTGATAATGCAAATGTTGAAATTAAAATAGCAATACTTTAACATGTAAGTTATGCAAATATTCAAAGTCAATGAAACATGACTGAAGGTACAGGGCTAAAAAATCTCCATGGAAATAAGACGTGCCAATGCTAATACAACTGCAAACCAAATACCATTGACTTTTCATAAGTCGTTCCCTTTAAACAAACCTAAACACAAACATTAACTTGTAAACTATGTAAAAGTTTCAAAGTCAATGAACCATAATTAGGGGGTGGGGTTATATAATCTTCATGGAAATGAAACTTGCAAATGCCAATACATTTGTATACCGACTATCATTGACTAAACATTAGTGGTTCATCTTAAACTGAACTAATCACAAACTAATACATGTAAACTAAGCAAAAGTTTCAAAGTCAATAGATCATGACTGAGGGGTAGGGACCAAATATTCTCCATGGAAATGAGATGTGCTAATGCTTATACAACTGCATACCAATTATCATTGACCTACCACTAACGGTTCCCCTTAAACTGACCTAATCACAAATTAATACATGAAAACTAAGCAAAAGTTTCAAAGTCAATAGACCATGAATGAGGGGAGGGGCCAAATAATCTCCATGGAAATGAGATATGCCAATGCTTATACAACTGCATACCAAATATCATTGACCTACCACTAGTGGTTCCCGATAAACTGACCTAATCACAAACTAGTACATGTAAACTAAGCAAAGTTTCAAAGTCAATAGACCTTGACTGAGGGGGCGGGGCCAAATAATCTCCATGGTAATGAGATGTGCCAATGCTAATACAACTGCATACCAAATATCATTGACCTACCACTAGTGGTTCACCATGAACTAGACCTAATCACAAACTAATACATTGTTGACATCATCGCCGCCGACACCGGAAACAGCATACCTATGTCTCGCTTTTTGACTCTGTCAATGTGAGACAAAAAAATTTATTAGCAATAACTTACTGATTTACATCTTTTCAAATAAAGAAGTTCATTTTAAACCTTTTAAGCCAAATCAAGGCTAATGAAATCTATTTGTTCATAGGATGCATATAAATCCTATGTCCTTATATCACATCTGGATATATTTTCTAATAAAAATTTAGAGGCTGGAATTTTCTTTTACTTTTGTAAACTTTCTAATATTTCCAAACAATGGAGTCATCTCCTCTTATGCAATAATAATAGACTTTTAAAATCAGTTCTTTTCTTTTTCAATTTTTTAAGGTGTGTGCTTGAAAATATTAAATATGGAAATTTTCAATACTCATTCTACAATTAAAAAAATATCAGTATTTCTAGTAGTTGAGGCTATTATATAATATGTAATATTAAAGCAAAAAATAAGGAGTAAGTATCATGATGCAGGAAAATACCTATTAATAAAATGTAATCCATTGCTTAGAGAATGAAAAACAAAAATTGAATAAAAACTTCTGATAACTCACAATTTGAATGCTCTTCAATTTGCCAATTTCTTCTGGCATGTTTTCAAAGTCATTATCACCCATGTAGAGAGCTCTCAAAGTATCTGTAATTAAAAAAATATTATTTTTTTTAATCCTCTCAAGTGCACCACAACTGTTGAATGCATGAAGAAAAAATATTTCACTTAACTTATGTCCAGTAGGAGCCCCTATACAGTACTTAGTAGTCAGTTGACTGCAAACAGTGTTTTGTTTTTCATAATTTGTTTTGTTATAAAAATAAACAGCTGCGCCATGAGCGCATGATACGCCCTTCGTCTTGTGTGTGAATTTTTATGCAATAAGCATAAATAGTTTCTGACATATGGCATGACATGCGAAAACCCCCTTTTTTTTTTACAAAAAACTCAATATCTCTAAAATAAAATTTTGAATCAAAACCAAAAAGTATACAGATCTTTAGATTAATATAACTAAGAAGTGCGTAAAATTTTAAGCAATAATCATAAATCGTTTTTGAGATACGGCACGACATGTGAAAACCCCCCCTTTAAAAAAAATAAAAAATCAATATCTCAAAAATAAAATTTTGAATCAAAACCAAAAAGTATACAGATCTTTAGATTAATATAACTAAGAAGTGTGTAAAATTTTAAGCAATAATCATAAATCGTTTTAGAGATATGGCGCGACATGTGAAAAACCCCTCCCCCTTTTTTTACAAAATACTCAATAACTCAAAAATAAAATTTTGAATCATCACCAAAAAGTATACAGATCTTAAGGTTAATATAACTAAGAAGTGTGTAAAGTTTTAAGCAATAATCACAAACTGTTTTTGAGATACGGTGCGACATGTGAAAAACCCTTCCCCCTTTTTTAACAAAATACTCAATATCTCTAAAATAAAATTTTGAATCATCACCAAAAAGTATACAGATCTCAAGATTAATATAACTAAGAAGTGTGTAAAGTTTTAAGCAATAATCATAAATTGTTTTTGAGATACGGCGCGACATGTGAAAAAAAACACACACCTGTTTTAGTTACTAAGTCCCGTAACTCAAAAAGTTTTAATCTTATTTTCACCAAAAAGTATACAGATCTTTTGACCATCATAAGAAACAACTATGTTAAGTTTCATGAAATTTGGATAAGTCATTCTCAAGTTACGGTGCGACATGTTGACGCCGTACAGACAGACGGACAGACAGACAGACGGACGGCGGACATTTGTATAACATAATACGTCCCGTCAAAAATTTGACGGGCGTATAAAAACTGTTAGTTTTCTCAATTCAATTGTTTCATATTTTTCATGTCAGGGCCTTTTATAGCCGACTATAAGGTATGGGTTTTTCTCATTCTTGAAGGCCGTACGGTTGCCTATAATTGTTTACATTCACTTCATTTGAACTTGGGTGGATAGTTGTCTCATTGACAATTATACCACATCTCCTTATTTTTATAGTGGGTTGTTAATTTTACAATTATAGGAAAGATCTCTTAATTACTTAGAACTTAACCTCAAAGAGGACTACCAAATACATGTAACTAAGACAAAGAAAATAGGTTCTATTATGAAACTGTAAGAGGATTGAAGTGGAAAAAGTACATGTATAATATGCTCACAACTGTTAATGTATCAGCAAAATTGGTATTATACTGACTATTAAAGTTAAACAACCCATAATTTTATATAACGATAACGAAAAGAAACTTAATAGAATTATAAAAAGATCTTTGGTATGAGAACAAATCATCATTTAAAATAAAAAGATTTAAGCTTGAATGTAATGGAGTCAAGCAATGTACATTATCTTAATCCTTGTGGACAGACAGGGATAAACCAATTTTCCCTTCACACTTTGATGTAAACTGTTTATATATAACAACAAAGTTCCATTAAAAAAACCTTGAACCAAATTGAAAAGATTCTGTTTGTAACTTCTCTAGTTTTATAGATATGACTTGCCAAGATAATGTATATTCTGTAAATTTTGTATGAAAATATCCCTTGTGTTCTTAAAAAAAGTTAGTAAAGAATGTTTCTTCATCTGACAATGGAAATTTCCATTACTCTGGTTTATCAGCACATTGATTGTAACAGTCTTGTAAAAAGCAATAGTTGCCCTTGTGAAGCTTATAATCTACTACTTACTAAGGCAAAAGAAATTTCCTGGCAAAGACTTCTCATTCAGGTTGTTGTAAGTTATGTCTAAAACTTCTAACACAGGAAAGGCACCAAAACCTCTTGGTAATACTGACAGTTTGTTCATTCTGAAAAAAACGTTTTATTTCTAGCTTAAAGATGTTTTCTGAATGCAACAATATTCAATTTTATAAGGAATGCATCTTAATTTTCTTAAGTGCTTTTCTAGATTAACCTCTACTAGGAATGCTCAAATCTAAACATGTGAAAGTCAGGGGTCCCCGGGTTTATAAATACTTAAGGAGCTAAATGATCAAAAGGGACCTTAAAAGAATAATCAAAACCACCAATAGCCTAGGGGAGTTGATAAAGTTAAGAGTATACCCGGTAACTGTATTTTTTTATAAATCAACAAGATTTCTGATGTTCAAATACTGCTATAAGAAAAAGGTATAACATTTGCATTGAATTATGCTGCTACAATTAGTCAGTTTCTTAAGTTTTATATTTATCACACATGTACCTGAGAATATGTTCCATAGAAGAATATTCTATGTATATTATATAAATGAGTGCAATAAAGCTTCTTAGGCCAGGGCTTTTTAATTTGTTGGTTTTACAGATTTTTTTATGTGAAAATTATTAATAGGTCTCAGTCAGGAAAAAATTAAAAAGATATTTTACAAGACATAAATATGTATAGAATTACTGTGTACTTCAGCTTTATTACAATTTTTGTGTTCTCCCTTTTTGTCATCATTCCTAAAATTTTAGTGCAAAACATTTTTTCTCTGCTGCTTTAAACACACAATGCAAGTCATCTTCATATAAGTTTATGAAAAGGGGTGTATTTGCATTAACTAACGGGACATAAATGGTCATTTCATGATGAACGAAAAAAAAGAAATAGCTATTCTTTGTTTTTTATCAGTTTTCACAAAACAAGGTGATTAATGAGCTTCAAGCAGGAAAGCGTGTGAAAAAAATTGTTTACCATCCATGAAGTAGGCCCTTCCAATGAGAAATTGGTTACATCCTGTTTACCAGGTAACCTTTACTTTGATATCCAAATGGGCAAAAAAAAATTTATACAACCTATGAAGCAAGAAAATTCCTTATTGTTTGTGGTCATCTGTTACTTAAAGTCTGTCCTGTTTAGACATTCTATTTCATATATAAGGATGAAGCAGCTTATCCCAAAAATTTTCAAAATAAAATCTTACAGAATTCTGACATAAAGGAAACCAAACTTATTGTAAAGGGCTATTAACAGGTTTTCATTCCGTTTAATTATTTGCGAAAACAAAATTTCCAGATCAGTTTGATTGTCTTTTTTTCGAATTTTAATTTTAAGAATACAAAGGCAGCGGATTATTTTGAGATTTGTATTTAAAGATGTGTTATGATTTCTGTTTATGTTTAAATCTGATACAATTATGCACGTAATTTGAGGTAAATGCTACTAGACAGATATTTTCATTTATATTTCAGGGATAATGAATTTGGTAGAATAGGCGGGAATGAAAAAGCATGAAATCAAAATTTATATTTTTTTTCTTAAAAATCTGAAAATTGGGTTGGCATATATATCAATAAAAATTTGTAAGGGTTCCACGGAACCCAGTGTCTCGCATACTTTTGCTGTTAATCGCAGGCTCAACAAAAATGAGGAAAAAAATTAATAAAAATATTCCTCTCTATACTATCTTTTGATTGTAAGTAGCTTCTGTCCAAGTTTGGTAAAAATCCAGGATAGTTTATGAATCTAATAAATGTTTTAAAAACTTAAACTGCAGACTGTATGTAATGTTAACTGGAAGAAAAACTAAGTCCATTTATAAGTAAAATACGGAAAAAATTCAATTTACTTTTGAATATTATCTTATGATCATAAACAAGCTTCTGTCCAAGTTTGGTAGAAATCCAGGATAGTTTAAGAAAGTTATCAAAATTTCAAAAACTTGAACCACAGAGTGAATATTTGTGGATGCTGCTGCCGCCGACGGAATGTAGGATCGCTATGTCTCGCTTTTTCAACAAAAGTCGAAGGCTCAACAAAAATCAACCATTTAATAAAACCTCACCTAGGAAGGGTCATTTTCCTACATTTATTGTTTTACTGAATGGCAAACTATAAATTGATAAGAATGTCAGTATCCAACATTTGATAATTAGACTAAAACAACATTAGGGATTAGAGGGTCCTCTTGAGGACTGGCATCTTGATATTTACCTGTTTCAATTTCTGAACTAAAATATTGTTAAAATAGGTATTTTTTTTTAAAGATTTATTGTAAAATATTAACAAAATAATTTATTTTTTATTACAATAATTAGTTTTTCATACATGTATTTAAAAAAAAATAGTTTCCCAAGATTTTAAAAGTCAATATATAATCTAGCACTGTGATTAAAATTGTTATTTTACTTTGTTTTCATATTTTTTTCTTTATTCTCCATAATAATGCATTATTGATTGCAATATGCGATCTTGAATAAAAATAAACATTTTATATTCTGAATGCTTGAGAATTTATTAAAGTTTGAGTCATTCACAGGTGAACAGATATACAACTGACTCTTCCGTCTGCTTAAGACAGCTTGCCAGGAACATTGACTTCAGCTCTTATGATATACAGACAGAACGTCCATGTAGACAATATATGGTTATATAGTTCTTTGCTCTAGAAGACAACAGCTTTCGACGACTATATACGTACATACAACTTCGTTGTTGCGCAACATTTTATATTTGGATATTTACATGTAACACAAAAACAAAAACATATCAAGTAATAGAATAAATGAATAAAATGAGGTACAGTCAGTGAACTTTTCGATTTTTTCATGTTATTTCCAATAAAAACAATTTTTTTTTTCATAAAATAAAATCCATTTGAGATTATTTCTTGATCAATTTTTATGAAATTTTCACAGATGAAGGAGAAATGTTTGAATTTTCCTTGTTTATTGATGGAATCTTTTTGTTGACTATTTAATTTTCTAACTCAAACACAGATAAAATTAATTATGTAACATTTTCTGGTTATATTCAACCAAAAATATATGAAAAACCAAATATTGTAAAAAAATATATAACTATGTTTGTTAATGTTTTAATATATATCTTTAAACTATACCCCTTTTTACGATATTTTAGTTAAGAACAGGTACAGGTGAATTACAGGTGAATATCAAGATGCCAGTATTTTGAAGACATCTCATCTTTGCCTTAAGTCAGGATCCTTGTTAGTGTTTGTTTTTGTTAATACATGTAGTAAAATGGTTTTGTCTGATGAGAAATTCAGTCTTAATAGCAGACTGTTGAATTCATTCACAAGTTGCCTAGATTTAAGGTGATAAGTGCTTGACATATGATAAAGACATTTGTCTATTGTTGAACTTCATGTTTTTTTTTGGTTTTGTTGTATTGTTAGGTTTCTGTCTAATTGATGAATACACAATGTCTTCTCTTAATTCATAACTTTTTGGATACATTTGAAGACAATACAACTGTACATGTAATACAATGAATACATGTATTGTTAAATTGTTTAATACTCAGTGGGTTTTTTGTTGGTAAATGCATTTTTTTTTCACGAATTTTGTTTAACTTAATACTAATTAGTCATTCTATTCTGCAGAGTAGACTCAGTAAAATATATCATAATGCAAGAAATGTATGTTTCTTTAAAAATCTTGGTAGTACAATTATGGTGTGTTTGTATACAGAGAACTTCTAATGGTAATGGTAATATAATGTACTAGTCTTCTTTTGAAATATATTTTTCTGTTTTATGTTTCTGTTGCCTCATATACATTTTTCTTTATTTCCTGCATTTTAATTCTTTTTCTTTTTCTGTAAACTTACCCTAAATTCAACAACTTCAACTTCATTAAAGAGCTGATAGACGTAGATAACTCCTGCAATAATAGATAAAAAAGTTTAATTTGAACTTTATATCACTTTGGAACTTGTTCTTAGTCTTGAACACATGTAATAATATTGGTGTGATTAAAAGAAGATATGAAGTAAAGGACAATGAGACAGCAACCCAACAAGACAATAAAAACTAAAAAAGGCACCTTGATTTCATCTTCATTTGATTTTTTACATTATTGTAGTTGTTTTGTTTATTTTCTATAAAATAAGTAATGTTTATGTTTAATATGTACATGTACTAAAATGTATATGCCATGTTTAGTAATAAGTAATAATCTTACCTTGATGTGATTATTGAAGAGATTCAAATGCTCCAAGTTCACAAGTTCAGATATAATATCAGGTACCACTAAAGTTACAGGTAATAACACTAGGAAAGCCATATGGTTATAGTGCCCGATTAATGGCAAGAACGCCAGATTATGGTTAATAAATAACCATAATTCGTAATTATAGATGTTTGACACAGAAATAGATGTCCTCCTCTGACTTTAGACGTTTGCTGTATTTTTAGACTTTCGTCCGGCGTTTTAGATGTTTGCTGTAATCCCTCTCAAACTCTTAGATAACGATGTCCCTTTAATAACTCGCGCGAACGACGTGTGTATTATTTAACATTAGCTATAGTATTTTTTAAAGTGTTTCAGTTAATACACATGATTTATCGTGTCGACGGGAATTAGCTGTTTGTCCGATAAAACTGATGTGTATTGAGTCGTCAATAGAACCAGTGAAGCGTGAGCGACGGTTATAAATACATCGTTAAAATGTAGAACAGATATATATAATCAATGCAAATCAGAATCTGTTAAAATTAACCATCTTATTTACGATGTATTTGAAAATATAGTTACCTGTAAATGAAGACAGAAACAGATAGTATAGATCTATGGAGTAGAGTGAGACTTATAATATAAAATGTCGCTGGATTAGATGATTAGTCTACTTTTTTTTCTTGGATTCTTTTATCAGTGTTGCAGGTTTCAAATTAAGGGGAAAGATCGAAATACAAATACGAAACGCTTTTAAGCATAGCTTTTCTGATGAATTAAATATCGAATTTTTTCATTGGTCAATAATAAAAATCTATTTTAATACGACCAATGTACACGATGAATACACGTGGTACCTTTGCAATACACAACTGCAAATATTTATGAATGGAAGTGGTTTATTAAGTTAAAGGTTCAAATTAGAAAATACGGAAATAAATGCAAATAAATTAAAGGTTCAAATTGGAAAATACGGAAATGAATGCAATCAAGTTAAAGGTTCAAATTGGAAAATGTGTTTAACCAGAGACATATATATATATACACAGAGATTGACAACTGTAACAATGGTCAGCATAAGTCTCTGGTTTAACTTTGAGTTTTATTTCTATTTTTGTCACTTGTCAGTAGCCTATTCATTCTATATACAGTGTCTCATATAAAGTCAATTTGTTAGGCTGGGTGTTGATTATTTTAATTATTGCATATGTTTTAATAGTTATAATTTATTATTATAATTATATATAAACATGAATCGTTAAGTATGTCCCAGGTTATAAATAGGAGGGACTTAATTATAGGAATATTGATTGGTATGAACACACTTAACAGGCACCTGATATTTATTTTTGTTATAATATGATGACCATACTAGAATTTATTAAATGCATTTCTGGTGATATTACTATTTAATTACAACCTGGCTTACCGGTATATTTTTAATACCTATGTCTCTCATATATAAATATATATACTGTTCCCGGATTTACTCAATATATACGAGTACTAACAGGACACTATCCAATGTCTTTGTTGCATTTATTTGTAATGTAAAGGTCTCCCATTCAGATAGGCGTGCAGAGTAATAAAGTTGCAATCGATTTTGGTAAATTGCTAACAATAAACAATAGGGTATAATAAATAGTAAAAGCTACAGGCTCAGCCCTTTATTCGTGAAACGAACTAAATATTCGATCAGGACAGGAAATACCTGATCAATATATTTCAGGATAACATATTTATCTAAAATAATGTCCACTTTAATGTTTACCATCTTCATGGCAATTTAAGATATTTTATTTTGTTGATAAAAAATATATTGTTGGCCGGGAGCGCTTTTCCTTTTACAATCACCAGCAAACCACATTATTTAATAATCGAGGGGGTGGACAGGGGTACTGTAACGTACAGGAAAATGAGAATGAGGGGTCGGGAAGAGAGTGTCGGATGGAGGAAAGCGGAAGTCAGAGGGTGTCAGATGGAGGTGCGGGCAGAGTTGGAGTAAGAATAGTTTTTTTCTTTTCTCTCTCCTCTCCTTACTTTTCGGTAATTAAATCCAAATAATAAGTACGTATAATATACACTACATACGTAATAAATACGGTGTACAGAATATATATATAGAGATGAATTTGCAAAGACAACATTTCATATAAAATAGTTAAAGGTATGTTCCTACCACACAAAGAGCATTACAGTACAAGTTAATCAAATATGTTCCCAAACTCCATACACCACAATTATTCTCGGTGTGACACCAGGAAACTCCAATAATCCTCCCTAAATTCCCTCCGACTTCCTCTACTTTGTTTATTATATTAGCGACATCTCTCCCAGCACAGTGTCACATCAGGTAATTAATTGCCCTAATCCTCTTGATCTATGCCAGCACGCGACAGTCAGGGTATGTGAAATTTCTTATGTAATTAAACAATTGTATTTCCTGTCTATTTATAATCAGGTTATATATCTAATTGCTTGAAACAAATAAAAGATTTAAAAGCAAAATGTTGTTGTTAATTCCTTCAATTGCATTAAATAGATTTATAAAAAAAAAACTATACTTGATTTTGACCTCCTTTTTTTTTTCTCACCGGTAAAATGATATTTTATTTACGAAAAGGGACATACTTGTGTAAAAATAAACGTAAACTACCACTTAATAAATGTGATCAGTTTAAAGAAAATTACGTGTCTCAATGTTTTGTATATGCAAATAAAAAATACCCAAATTATTCACCATTCACTATGTTTAAGTCTACGGCATTTTCTTATTACGATTTGTTGGCATTACTTTAGGATATTTAATACATTTCGGCTACAACAGGAATACTTCCATACATGTAACTAAATCAACCTTGGTACACAAATACGTGGTCTACGCGTGACATATTTGTCATTCGATGGGTATACATTGAATGAATGAATGAATGAGAATTAGATCCGGGCGATCTTTTCTAATCAAATTAATAATTAAAATTTGCTCTTTCTTACGAGCAGGGGAACGTCATAACCTATGCAATATCGTGCTTTTAGGTTGCTGGATTAATTCGTCGCTGCATAAATAATATTAATTTACGCACAATGAATGTAATCTTTGTGTGTTGTATTTTGGACAATTTTAAAAAATTAATTTGCCGTGGGAAGACAATTCCACGATACACATCTCAGTGAATAACAGCATGTGGTTGAACTTGAACTTGAACTTGACTTCGCTCACTATATTGAATGCTAAAAATAGCCGACATCAATTTTGTCCACGGCACGAGATTTTTAATGGCGGGAAATTTCACGTAACATTAAACTCATGTGACCTTTATGAACGACCGTGGGAAAAATCATTCAGGTTTTAAATTTGCTATGTAATGATAGGCATTTTTGTGCCTTAATATTGAGGCTCTATCAGGTCCTTTTACAATTGATTTACCGGAATCTAAAATATAATCCTTTTCCAAATAAACGATGATACGTCTTCTTTAACTATTTTATTTTTTATCAGTCAAAACAGGACATAGTCCTGTTAGTTAGGGGACGATCATTTGATATTTTGGGGGGAGGGGCCAGGAAGATTTTGAAAAAAAAAATAACTCAGCCTTGATAATAACAAAAGTAAATGGTTTGTTCTGGTGTAGTTTGAAAATAAATAACCTGACTTACGATGTATTGAAAATAAATAAGTCGGCAGGTCTTTTAAGCCATTTTATAATAAATGCTATTCTTAAGTATGAGATGGCACCAGATTCTCCCAAAATTCGTCTTTTTATGCCCCCGCCGTAGTAAAGGGGGCATTAAGTTTTACCCATGTCCGTCTGTACGTTCGTCCCAAAGTTGGTTTCCGTTCTCTAACTTTTAATAGTTTGCCTCAACCAAATGTTATGAAACTTATACACAATGCTTATTACCACTAAATACAGACCAAGTTTGAATTTTGGTGGCGTCACTTTTACTGTTCTAGAGTTATGCTCCTTTATAAATGGTAAAATTGCTAAATTTTTCGTTTCCGTTCTCTAACTTAAGTTTGCCTCAACCAAATGTAAGGAGACTTACACACAATGCTTATTACCACAAAACTCAGATCAAGTTCAAATTTGGATAGCGTCACTTTTACCGTTCTTCAGTTATGTCCCTTTATAACTATATGATATGCAAGCGGGGGCATCATCTGTGTCCACATGTGGACACAATCCACATTTTTTCATATTTTTTTCGGGAAAAACTTTCCAAATCTTTTAAGAATACAATGTATAAATATAAATGTATTTGAAATGTCTGAAAATGGGTTTCATTTAACTTGAGGTATATTGTCTCATGAACATTTACCTCCCTTTTATTACAAGGCTGTAACTTGGCTACATTATGGCAAACGCCTCATGTGGGAAGTTTCAAAAACAAAAGCTTGTCTTCATACCTACTTAATGAGGGTTTTAATATTGTACTACTGTCTACTGAACTCCTTGATTCAAAATAATTCTATAATATATAATTTGTAGATTAATTTAAAAAAAAAGAAGTTGTGAACGTAACGTAATTGCAATGCATTATTACTGTATGCTGATTTTCTTTGAACATATATACAAGGATCTCTATTCTTAATAAATTTTGCCCATTATTCTCTATTATTTATAAATTAGCACAGAGTGACCCTTAATTCTCTATTCTTTATGGTCTATTTTTCCCTAGTCTTTTTTTTTTTGCCCTTTATTCTGTAAACCCCATCCAGACCCTCGTATACATGATGAAAAATCTAGTACGTAAGTTCTGCTTCGAACACTAGTTGACATGGGTATAGAAAATTGTCATCTATGTTCTTTTCCCATCCGCAGTATCTATTACCCTTTCTTGCAACGTTAGGCAGCTCTGGATCTAGGAGTTATACAAAATTTCCATTATCTCTGCATGATATGACATATAGATTTAAGTATTTACAGGAAAGAAACCTGCGCTAGCCAAACTAAATAAATGGCGAAAAGCAAGATCTCAAAATGACAGTAAAACAAAACGGATTAAAACCACAGGGACTCGGTTAGCAGATTAAAATTGTATTAATCAATGTTTATCTAAAAAAAAATCGTATTTC